TCCCCAAAGCTAGGACACTGTTTAAAAATGAAGCTTTAAAACATCCTTTATATACCAGACAAATAGGGAATTCAGGAAGCCACTAAATATAAACCCGGAGAGCAGAGATTCTCAGCCCATGTTGCGACTCTGGTGATCCAACTACCCTTTTACAGGAATCGCCCAAGACCACCAGAAAATACCAGTATTTTCTTTACCGTTCATAACAGTAGCAAAATGACAGTCACGAAGTAACAGTGAAATAACTTTGCGATTGGGGAATCACCACAGCATGAGGAACTGTGTTAAAGGGTTGCAGCCTTTGGAAGGTTGAGAGCCACTGCTGTAAAGAGACAGGCCCTGCACAGTGGTTCACACCTTTAATCCCAGCACAAGGGAGGCAGAGGTGTGGACCTCGATGAGGCCATCCTGTAGTCTGCACAGTGAGTTATAGGATAGCCAATGCTACCTAATAAGTCCTGGTCTCAAAAGGGCTACAGTATGTGCACACACACACACACACCCCCTAATAGTTTAACTTCTGACCAAACTCTACCTTTTCTCTTCACTAGTATTTACAAGGCTTCTTCCTGGACTCCACGTCATTCAATATTTTGATGGATATGTTATTTACCAAAGGCAAATATGAAAGTAAGTACTGCAGTCTGTGGTTGTGGAAAACTACTGGACAAGCAGCTGGGGTGGGAAGAACTATAGAAGTAGCCCTTAGATTTCTGCTGAGGAGCCCTACTATGACCTTGCTCCTTAAATTTATATCATCAAATTGCATAAGATAGCTGAAATGAGCCACCTCAGATTATCTAAAACTTCAGCGGGTTTCCTATGCGTTTTTCTTGCACGACCTGATGATGTAGTTTAGCATTTAGGTAATTGCCACCTAACTTCAAGGAGTGGCTTTGATCATGCTAAAATTTGCTTTTTGGTAGGTAATGCTGAACTGATTAGAATTTTGGGAACTGCCCATAGGTTCCTTTAACCCCGCTGGCCACTGTTCACTCGGCAGGTGCCCTGGAAGTATTGATTGAAATGAAAAACCAAGATGTGAAGTTCAGCAGAGACACCTACATCCTTGCATTTGCAGTTTGCTACAAACTGGTAAGACTATTTCCCTTGCGACTGGAGAGATGGCTCAGTGGTTGAGAGCATTGCCTGTTCTTCCAAAGGTCCAGAGTTCAATTCCCAGCAACAACATGGTGGCTCAAAACCATCTGTAATGAGATATGACACCCTCTTCTGGCCTGCAGGTGTACATGCAGACAGAACACTGTATACCTAATAAATAAACAAATCTTTAAAATGAAAAAAATAAAAAAAGGCTATTCCCCTTAACGCTCAGGGCATTGGGAATTGAGTAGTATCTAGGAGAGGATTTTTTGCCTGACTGCCTGCCTGCCTGCCTGCCTGCCTGCCTGCCTTCCTTCCTTCCTTCCTTCCTTCCTTCCTTCCTTCCCTCCCTCCCTCCCCCTCCCCTCCCCCTCCTCTCTCTCTCTCTCTCTCTCTCTCTCCCTCCCTCCCTCCCTCTCTCTCCCTTTCTTTCTTTCTTTCTTTCTTTCTTTCTTTCTTTCTTTCTTTCTTTCTTTCTTTCTTTCTCTTTCTCCAGTTCCTCTGAAGTCTGTTTTCCATCTGGTACAAATATTTTAATTTTAAATGTATCCATTTTTAGAAAACTCAAGTTAGCCTTGTCAGATATTTTTATCATGGGAAAAGCAATCATCTTTCGCCCCTCTTTGGCAAGCTTGTGGATTGTGAAAGCAAAAGACAAGTTTCTGCTGAGCTCCGGAGTCCCTCGTAGGTTACACTACACTAGATTGCCTTCACTATTGCCCCGTCCTTTAGAAACATCCCATCCTTCCTGGCGGACTCCACATACCATGGCTGTCATGTATTCCTTTTAACTATTACTGTTATTTTATGTGTACGAGTGCTTTGCCTGTGTCTGTGCACCACACGCATGCCTGGTGCCCATGGAAGCCAGAGGAGGGTTCTGATCTCATGGATAGTTACAAACCATCATGGGTGCTGGGAACTGAGCCCCCGTCCTACAAGAGCAGTCAGCGCTCAACCACTTAGCCATCTCTTGAGCCCTCTACTTCTGACTTTTGTTTGTCCAAGCCATTAAAACCTTTAAACCCCTTTCAGCTGCAGGTTAGAGTTGGCCCAAGGGCTCTGTGGGTCGTTCCGAATGGTGGTTCCTGCTCAGGCTTGCTTCGCTGGGTGCATGCTGAAGTATAGAGAATTTAGTTCTGCTTAAGAAGGGCCAGATGATCTTTCTTCCTGTGTTGTATCCAAGAGTAACTTGTTTTATCAAGTGGAGACAAGTCTGGAAAAGGAGCTGCTGAGGTTCCCAGTCACCCCTGGCAACCGCCCCACATAAAATTCAGACTTTGTTGAGATGATTGAGTGGTGGGATAGATAGATCTTCACAGACACACAGATGTCAGGCTGCTGCTGCCATTGTGAGCCCACCCACCTGTGGCAGCTCAGAGGGGGCTGGGTTTACATTGCTGTCTGACTGATTAGGGCATCACTTCCTTGGGTTTAAAAATACATTTTCTTTTTTAGATGTATTTATTTTATTTATGTGTATGTAAGTATGTGCACCACATGTGTTCCTGGTGCTGGCCGAAGTCAGAAGAGGACCTCAGGTCACGTGGACTAGAGTTACAGACGGTTGTGTGGGAGCTGGGAACTGAACTCAGGTCCTCTGCAAGAGCAACAAGTGCTGCTGACTGCTGGGCCATCCCTTCAGCCCCCTTGGGGTTTCTTTTTCAGTCTGTTTTCATGGGATTCTTCTATACGTTATGTTGTATTAGTGTTACTGTTTTCAAGTTCTTGACTAACCGGAGACTTTCAAGCTGGAACTCTCCAAAAGAGAGTTTAAAAGAGTTACTGCATGCTACAGTGCTGGCCCCACTGTGGGGCTTATGCCGAGAATCTAGCCTGCTGGCATACAAAGATGCCTGTTTACAAGTGAGAACTGGCTTACGATGAAATTGGCAAGCTGAACAATAAAACTAGTTTAGAGTTGAGCTGCTACCATATAAATAGTCTAGTCTGTTGCAGATGGTCTCTGCATAGCTTAATTTTTTTTGTTTTTGAGATTAAAATATAATTATATCGTTTCTTCTTCCTTTTCCTCCCCCTAAACCCTCCCATGTGTACCTCCTCGCTCCCTTTCACGTTCATGGCTTTCTTTCATCGGTTGCTGTTACATGCGTGTATGTGTATACGCATATATTCCACAGTACAGCCTGCTCAGTCCATGTATGTGTATGTGTGTACGCATATATTCCACAGTACAGCCTGCTCAGTCCGTATGTTATTGTACGCATGTTGTCGGGGCTGACTGTCTGCTGTTGGATAGCCAATCGGTGTGCTCTTCCCTGGGGAGGACTGTTTCTCTCCCTCCCAGATTACATACTTACCTGTAGTTCTTTGTGAAGCATTGAAGCCCTGATCCTTCCCCAGTCCACATTGTCATGTCTGTTGAGCTTAATTCTTCACGTGACTTCAGATAGGCTCCGGGAGATTCTTAGAGCAGGAAATCTGAGACACTAAGTCCTGTTGATCATTACACCTGAAGGTTCATGACGTTGACTGAGCAATCCCATCTCCTCACAGAACAGCCCAGAATCTTTTAAAATTTGCACAACTTTAAGAGAAGAAGCCTTACTCAAGGGAGATGTCATCTCCAGGAGAGCATCCTGTTTTGCGGTGGCATTAGCTCTGAACCAGGTAAGGCCTTTGGGGCAGAGGAGACGTAAGTGACGTAGAAGTGGGCAGGACGTTACTGCTTTCATTTGTTCTTGTTTTTCATTTATTTTTCCCTCCTAACTGTATTATGAGGACATCCCATAATGAAAAAATGCCTTCATTGCCACAGCGATTTGCTGTAAAGAACGTTTTTACTTGTGGCCGAAGACCCAGCATGCATTTTGTTTAGAGTAGGTGGGCCAAGATCTTGTGTAGAAATCAAGGAAGGAAGCTGTAGTTTGAGAGAAATAGTCTTGTTATAGTAACAATGCTACCTGTACACATGCTTCCTGTGTAGCATGATCAGAGAGCGTTTTTACATCAGTGTCCCTTTCCTCTTTTATTTTTTAAAAATCTCTTCACGTAGTTCTTATGCTGATTCTTTTTTATTACTCATCCCTCAAAAATATAAATTTCTTTTTGAACACCACTGACAGTAAATTTGTGTCAGAGAGACAGAAACACCAGAGCCCCAGTCCAGCTGGACAGGCTTTCCTTGGTCCTGGGTACGGAAGCCCACACTTGTTTCCCCCATCTGTAGCAACAGGATTTCGGGATGCGGCCTCTTTTCTGTCGCTACCATAGAGACATGCTGCCTCCTGCAAATACAGCGTTACCATGGACATCCTCACCACTCCCTGTGCCTCCCCAGGGGCCCCAGTCTGCCCCTTCCTCAACTCCAATCTCTGCAGGCCAGCACTTAGGTCACGGACTCTAGGCTGTACTGATAGAGAACCTCCTAGAACCTAGAATGTGGATCCCTTCCTGAAATGTGTAGCACCTCGCAGGGCTCCATCTCCAAGAATTCTGACAACACCCACGTCTTGTCTGGTTTGAGGCTTCACTGATTATGCCAGGATGAGGTTTGCTCTGTTTCTTCTCATTGTCATTTTCCCTCAAAGCTGGTTCCAACAGGAGGAGGAGGGGTGCCAGTTTAATACCTCTCAAAAACTAGACTCGGAGAGATTGCTAAAACATAAGACACCATGCCACTGGGTAAAACCCTTTATACAGTTTGTTTAAATTTGTATTTTTAAAAATCCCATTGTTGATTTAAAACTCTGAGGCCCCGTGCCTAGGAGCATCCTGCTTTCTCTAAGTAATATGTAGGAGAATGGAGTGATGGCTGCATGCTCTAGGGTTATGACTTTTGTTTTTCCTTCCAGAACCAGGTGGAAAAAGCCATGTCCATTTTTTCTCAAATCATGAATCCAGAGAATATAACCTGTGCTAACTTAAATGTAAGTGATTGTCTTGTATTTTAAATGAGTTGAAATGTAAAATGCCTGCTGTTTTTGTCTGTGTGCATTCAGTTCAGAAGAATAGTCATTTACTAAGCTTCTCTCGGGGAAGAGCCACTCCTGTGAGAGAAGTCATCACCACGGGCTTCTGGGAGTTTATTAATGGTGGGGTGATGGGTCTGCTCTGCTGTGTGGCAGGGCGCCCATGGCATTTGAGGCACAAGTGAGAAGGCTGTGGGTTTGAAGAGGGGTGGTTGGACTGGTGAGACTCTTCCCCCCCGGGTGAAGCCTGCGTGCTAACTGCACCCCATCTGTGGCAGCTGATTTGTGGTGTGTCTGTGACTGATAAGCCGGTATATGTGCTGTCTTAGGTTTCTATTGCTGTAAAGAGACACCATGACCACACAAGTCTAATAAATAAAACATTTCACTGGGGTGCCTCACAGTTCCAGAGGTTCAGTGTTTTGTCTATGAATATCTGTGCACCATGTGCACACCCAGTGCCTGTGGAGGTCAGAAGACATCAGATCCCCCAGTGCTGGAGTTATGGGTGCTTGTCAGCTGCCTGTGAGCACTAGGAACCTGACCTGGGTTCTGTGCATGAACTACGCGTGTTCTGAGCCACTGAGCCATCTCTCGAGCCCTTCAGGTCCCCAGTTCTCAAGGTCTTGTCTTCCAAACAATCCAGGACTTAAGCTGAAGAAGACTCTTTCAGACTAGAAATAGCACTAGTCTGACATGAGCTATTTCACAACCATGCAGTGGGTGTCTCCAGACAGGGGAGTGACCGAAGAACACAGCCGGGCTGCAGAGCAGCTGAGGAGAGTGAAGGAGACCTGCTGGGGCAGGGACTGAAGCGTTCCCGTTGGTGTGTGCGTGTGTGTGTGTCTGTGTGCGTGTGTGTCTGTGTGTCTGTGTGTTCAATTCCCAGCTGCCATGCTGTGTCAGGACTATGGCCTCGATAGTAGAAGTGAGTCAGTACTGAAGCACCTTGAAGGTGCCTTCTGCTCTGGTTCCAGCCTGAGCTCACCCAGACCCAGCCAGACAGAAGAGCTCTGCCCCTCCCCTGTAGCCAGCCAGGCCTCTTCCCGCCTCCACGCCCTCCTCCTTTAATTTGCTTCTATTGGCTATTTTTTCACATGGCAAGAAAAGTAACTAATACAGGTCAACTATGGGGCTGTGTTCTGGAGGAGGGGCTCTGGGTTGTAGTTGGAAGGACAGCGCTTTCCATAGATTGCTCTTGGTGAGGCTTTCCATGCAAAGACTACACTGCTGATTATAGCCGCCTCCTACTGGCTCTGAGTCCTTGGGCCCAGTGCACAGATTCTTTAGATGTCATGTCTGACTTTGGTTTTCCAAGTATACCATCGGGCACTGTACAGGCGTACATCTGAGGGTAATTCCTGTGGGCAGAGCAGAAAGTTATCACCTGTAAGTATTACTGTGTTTCCTCGGAATCGTGGAGCTCTGCCGAGATCCCACTCTAGGACTTGTCGCAGACAGACTCCAGTGATGAACTTGGTTAGTATGGAGCACTAAGTGCTCCCCGCCCCAGGCCAGCTGCTTTAGATCCATTCTTCAACCATGACAGCAAAGGGACAGCCATTATTTTTGTCTTCTGTTCTCTGATGTGTGAGGACAGCCAGCTGGCACATGGGTGGGATCGGCGTGTTGTGGTTAAGGAATCTTGAACTAATGTTAAATTTGATTCTCTTTGGGAATGCAGTCAAGGAATTATCCATTATTTGGAAACTTTAATGAAACAGTCTTATTCTTTAAGAATTCCCACTTGGGAGACTTGCAGATTTCCGATCTAAATTCCTCATGTCGCACTATAAGCCCGTTTAAACCTTTGTGTTCTGGGATGACGAAGAAGAGGCAGTGTGTATTCCCTGAGATGACTTTCAGATTCCAGGTCTTCTTCCAGTCTGAGCTTTAAAACGACACACAGCGTTTCCAAGGCTGTCATCTACTTGGACTCCTTAAACAATTTGTGTGTCTGACGAATGGGCTGGCAGTGGGAGCCTGTTGAGTCAATATTAGTAAAAATAGATGGAAGTTTTCTTTTTCTTGATCTGTTTTAAAAATCGATATCGTACATTTAAATCTTTCACTGCTGTGCATTAGAATTTAAACTCACTTAATCCTCCCCTAACTTAATTTTCTTTTCATCCCAATTACTTCTGCTGCCTGTGTGACCCAGAGGAGCTGGTTTCTTATTTCCCAGCTGACACTTGCTACATCTTGCATTCATGTAATCTATGACGTCACTAAGACCCATGCATGTTGACTGTAGCCTGTCAGTCTCAGAAGAACCACAAGCTCTCTTTGGCAGTGCTGCCCTCACCCTGGTGAGCTGCTGCCCTTGAGATTTTGTTTGTCTCGTTTGTCTCTTGGTAGTCCATCTGTGGGATGTTGAAATAATAGTGGCGGCGGGGCTGCATCCCCAACACCCCAGCCACTTGGCTAGCTCATGCCCGAAATAACTACACACAAACTGTATTCATTTAAGAACTGCTTGGCCCATGAACTCTAGCCCTTACAGGCTAATTCTCGCACCTGGACTAGCCCATTTCTAATGATGTGTGTAAGCACCCCAAGGTGCGCTTACCGGGAAGATTCTAGCCTATGTCCATTCTGGGTTCGGAGCTGAGAGGAGCTTCATTGCATGCATCTTCCCAGGAGATCGGAGCATGGCGTCTGTCATCCGGAGAGCAGAGTCTCTCCGGGAGCAGAGCAGAGTCTGACCTCACTTCCTCTTCCGCCCAGGATTCTATTCTGTTTACTCCTCCCATCTATGTTCTAAGCTGAGGCCAAGCAGTTGGTTTATTATAACTTAGCCAATGAAATCAACAGATTGATATATGACACTCCTACATCACTTCCCCTTTTTCTGTTTAAACAAAAAAAAGAAAAAAGAAGGCTTTAACTTAACATCCAAAGCTCTAGAAATGACAGAGACATCTCGCTGCCTGGACAGTCACCCAAAGTTCCTCTATACCGTTGGGGCATCCATCTTCAGCCTACAGGCCCATAGTTTCCAGCAGACATTTCCACAAAGCAGGAAATTTCAAAGACAGTCACTATCTGCTTGTCCTGAAGAATGTCTTGCAGACTCTTTCATGAATCAGGAACCCCGAAAGATCATCTCACCTTTAGGCAAGTTCAGCAGTCCTCTCTCTGCGGGTTCTCTGTGTCCAGTTTATGCAATAGTCCAGGCAAGAGCAGTTTCTTGCCCAAATGGCTATCAAACTCCATAAGGATCCTCTTCGATGCCCATCTTCCTCTTGAAGTAGATTGGTGCTGCCAGGAGCAGAGTGTCCCATTGTCATGAAAAGTCCTAAGTTATTAAAACATTTAATAGCATATTCTATAATCTTTGAAAAATATGAAGAGTGCCTATCTAAAATATATCTATGCACATCTAGAAAACCTTAACTAACATGACTACAAACTTAACTATTATTAATTATTCATTAACAACCTATATACATTCAAAATTGACCTTAAATCTCTATCAATAGGATTTCTTGTTTACTTAAGTATTATTATATCCTTCTGGAGTCTTTGATGGAGTTGAAGAATGAATAGTTATAGTTTTCCTTAGTTATGGTAAGAGATAAAATAGATATAAATATTGTAACTGTAATTCTTACTTGATAACTGTTTTGTTATATGTAATTTTACTATGTTAAAGTTAAAGCCTTTCTTTTTTGTTTAAACAGAAAAAGGGGAAATGATGTGGGAGTGATTTCTTATTAATAAAGAAACTGCCTCGGCCCTCATAGGACAGAAAATTAGGTAGGCGGAGTATACAGAAGAGAATTCTGGGAAAAAGAAGCTTAGTGAAGGAGTCGCCATGATTCTCCCGGTCCAGACAGACACAGGTTAAGATTCTCCCTGGTAAGCCAGCTCGTGGGCTACAAAGAATATTAGAAATGGGTTAGAACAATATTTAAGAGCTAGCCAATAAGAAGCTGGAACTAGCCGGGCCAGGCAGTGTTTAAAAGAATACAGTTTCCGTGTAATTATTTCTGGGTATAAACTAGCCATGCGGGCGGCTGGGTGCCGGGGACGCAGCCCCTCCGCTCCTATTTCAACAGTGGGAGACGTAACCCATGATGTGATGAGAATGAGGTAGGAGACTTTAAGATGTAGGGCCGGCATGAGTCACCGTTCCTGTGAGGAGCTATTGGATTAGCGGTGTCTGGAGGATGCAGAGTCGTTTTCCATCAGGAGTGTAGCCACTGTAACCTGCCCCTGAGCTAGCAAATAACCCATGCATGTGCAACCCTAACTAAGCTCAGGTTAGTTTTTTAAAGGACACGAAAGTAAGAGGGGCGTGTTGGGAGAGGACGTATTCCAGAGTAGCGTGGGCGAAGAGAAGGGAATGGAAGGTGGGTGTGGTCGAACTTCATTATATACACGTAAGAAATAGTTTTGAAAATACACTTTTGAAGTAGGAAGGAAAAAGGCAGTACCTAGAGGACAGTACTATGAGGTCACTGGGGGTGTGCTCTCAGGAGGGATGAAGGTAGTTGTAAGAACGTTGTAGGAAACTAGCCAGGCCCCACCATCTGCCCTCTGGTTTCCTCTGAGATGCGATCCCTGCTTTCACATGTGCTTATTCATTGCCTTGCTTTTCTGTGTGCTGGGTGTGCCGGCTGATGGGAAGTCGTCAGCAGGGCCGTTTCACAAGTTTGGTTTGGCGCCCAGTTTTGGAGGTTGTTAATGGGTACAGTGCAGATAGCTAGGCTTCCCTGAGCTTCCACTCCACCTGGCACAGGGAGTGTGCTGCCGTTAATCAACATGAGAAAGGTGCTGCCTTCCTCCAGCCAGGCTTAGGGTACAGTTGATCGTCATGGCCCTTGATCCTAGGGGAAAGAGGGCGGGGGGAATGAACATTTTCCCTTGTACCTCCTGTGTGCTGGGTTTTCATGTCATGTTCACAGTAACATACAATGTGGGACTCAAGACTACTGTTCCCGTTTAACAGATGAGGATGTTAAAAGCAAAGTTTGCAGCTGGGAGTCACGTAGCTAGCGTTTGCCAGGGTTAAAATTTCAGCCATGCACCAGTGGGGTGGGTGTGTGTGTGTGTGTGTGTGTGTGTGTGTGTAGATGTGTATGCAGAGGTCAGAACATAACTGTGAAGTTGTTTCTTGTTCTTTTTGTGGAACTGAGGAATCAAACTCAGGCTTGTGTGGCAGGTGCCTCTGCTCTGTGAGGCACCTCACTGGCCCCAGCTACAGCAATGCCATTAGCTGTAGAAAAATATATTTTTGCTGGTGAACATGCATACAAAGCATATAAAAAAAACCAAAAAGCATATCTGAGCTAATGAATTAGGAAATAATATTAAAAATTGATGTCTGTCAATGCAGGCTCATCTCAGCGTTGAAAAGCCTGCTAGCTCAGTCTTGTCTGTTCTTTTATTCAGATTTTAATCCATATCCGGTCAAATAGGTTGGAAAGCCTGATAAAGATCTTAGAGGACACTGTTGACAGAAGTGTATCGATGTTTGTGAAAAGACATGCGTTCTCAGAGGAAGTGGTAAGTGTGCCAGCGCTGCAGGTGGCACTAAGTGCAAGGGCACCCTATGCTTACCTGGCGTCGTAGCCCTGAGACCGCCTCCTGAGCAAGAGGCCAGAGATAGTAGCCTCTCCGGTGGTCTCAGGGCTCGTGTGCTCAGTGTGAAGACTACTTTCTCCTGGCGTACTATGACTTCGGGTTCCCAGAGCCGTCTCTTTTGTGTTGTTCCTTACCCTCTACTATTCTGTAGGAACTTTCTTTTTTTCTCTCAAGCCTCCCATACCATGAATAATAAAAACCCAGAGATGGATATTGGGGTTCAACCTGAAGATCAGAAAAGCAAAGCAGCCAGCCACTAGAGAGTTCTTACCTTTACCAAGTCTTCAGACCAAAGGGGCGAGATCCTGTCTCCACAAATCCTCAGACTCCATACTCTTCTGAGTTCCTGACTCTTCCCCTCTATATTCCTCTCTCCGCCCAGCCATGTCACTCCTGACTCTACCTCCCTAGTGCTGGGATTAAAGGCATGGGATCCCAAGTGCTGGAATCACCTTTGTATGAGCTCTGTTTCTCTTTTAGACAGAGTCAATCTTGTGTTTCCCGAGTCCTGGGATTAAAGGTGTGCGCCACCACTCCCTGGCCTGTATGACTGACTAGTGTGGCTGCTTTGTCCTGTGATCTTCAGGCAAGCTTTATTTATTAAAACACAGATAATATACCCCTGCAGCATCCAGTACCTTCTCTTGCTCCTCACTCTCCGCTAACCCTTGCTTCCTGTTTAGGGAGAGAATGGCCAGTACACCGTCAGCTGCGGGCTGTGGTTGTATGCCCATGGTGACTTCATGTGCCTCTCTCCAGCATCTCCACTGCTACTGGACGTTGTCACACTTAAGTCTCGTCAGAGTGTCCTTCCTTGTAATCAGTCCTATCATCATTATTGTGTATATTATCTGTCATCTAAAGAAAACAGTTACCCTACAAATGAAAAGACCCATGCTGGGTTTAGCTAGGGAACCTAGACCTTACAAATGCCAGTTCCTCCAAAGTTAATGTGATAAGGTAATGACCTCAGGAAGTATACCACTATACTTTTTCTGTGGCTTGGCTTAAAACAAGTAAGAAAAATAGCTTCTTTAAAGGAAGGAATAACATCAAGATGCAGCTTAGTGGTTCTCTTCCCCAGCCCTCAGAGGCTGCCTTACTTATCTCTCACTAGGTCCTGGACTCACAGATCCAGTTAGGTGGGGACCAGTGAACTCCAGAGCTCTGCCTCCACCTCCCCAACTTCCAGATTAAAAACCCGCCTTCTTTGATCATTTTGGCTTTTTACATGGGTTCTGGAGATCAAATTTTAAGTTCTTATTTTTGCAAAACAGATATGTACTTGACAAAGCTGTCTCCCCAAGCCTCTCCATAAAGTCTTTCTTCACATTTATCTGTTTTTTATATTTCTTTATTTTGTGTTAATATATGGTGTGTGTACATGTGTGTGTGTTCATGTGTATGTATGTGTGTGAACACAGATGTGTCACAGTACATGAGGAAGTCAGAAGACTTTTTCGAAAGATGGTTCTCGCCTTCCACCATGTAATTTTGAGTCCGGGTTCTCAGGCTTGGTGGCAAGCACCCTGGACTGTTGAGTCATCTTGCCAGCCCTAAAAATGTGTTTTTGTGTGACAGAAACACTATATCAAATAAAAAGGTGAATAATCTTGAAGAAAATACTTTGAGGTTTTTACTCATATAACAAAGAGCTGACCAACTCTAATGTGGAGAGTTCTTTTTGAAAATTACGAGAAAAGAACCAATAGCCAATGCTGAACAAAGATGGGGTTCACTTAGGACTTGAATGCGTTTAACCCTCAGGAAGACTCTCAGCCCTAACGGTGAATTCCCCAGAACCCCATCATAAAGTGAGATACATGACCAGATACATTCATATATTTACATTTAAATTAATGTAGAAAACCAAAACAGCTATGAAAAAGTGGGTAAAGAGTAGAAGTAGAATTTCCCTGAGTGTGTTTTGTATATTTGGCTTTGCAAAGTGTGAAAGCTTCCCAAACATTAAAATTAAATTAAATATAAATGAAGAGGAAACAGCAATTCCTAAAATTGGAAACAGAGTGGGAGAGATGAGCTCCTGTGCCTCACTGAGGGCCTGAGACACAGCAGTAGTTACCGCTGCCCACTTGAAATGCAGTCAGGGCTTTCAAAGCCTCCTTTATTACTTACATGTACCTGTGTGTGCCTCTGGGTTTCTTTCTGTCATGTGTGTCCAGGTGCCTGCAGAGGCCAGAGGACATCAGGTCTCCTGGTAAAGGAGTTAGAGGAGATTTTAAGCCACCCAATCCTCTTCAAGAGCAGTAAGCACCTTAACCACTGAACCGTCTCTCCACTCCAAATTGTAGTCATGTATACCTCCAAAGACACGTGAAGTGGTTGGGGAGGGAGCGAAGAGCCAGGCGGCCCTGCCATTAGCAGTCATGCCCACACTGTCATTTGCTCTGACCAAGTGACCTGTGGGTTGGTCCTCCTTCCTTGTCCCACTTTCCTGTGCTTTGCCAGTTTTGCTGATGGCTGAGGTGGCAGGATGGGCACCAGGGGCAGGTAGCGCTTTCTCCATCATGCTGCGTCCCAGCTGGCTCACATGTCTCCTTGCTCCTGCTGCTTCCTGATGCCAGAGGAGTTATCAGGACTCTTACCGGCAGGATGAGCTTCTTCCTACTAGAGGGCTTTACTCTGCCTGTGTTGTGATTTTCCCAGATCATGTTGGAGTAAGTTTTAAAAGCAGAGGACATGGAGATATGAACAGATTCTAGAGTGCACAGATGTGCTTGTGTGTGCTGGAGATCATGTGTATACACACATGCATGTTTGTACGTGCACACATGTGTATGTGATAACAATACTGGTGCAACTTCCGTTTCTCTCAATAGTTAATTTTAATAA